CATCTGTTATACCCACACCACCTGTACTCAGTCCGTTAGGTGAAAGAAAAGTCTCTTCATGGTCGACATTGGGGCCCAGCACTCTATCGTGACTAAACCCATTGTCCTGCATCTGGACAGACTGTCACTATAGTAGGGGCCACTGGTAAGCTTGTCACCAGACTATTGCTATGAGAAAGAACCTGCAATTTGGGAGGCCATTTAATTCAACACCAGTTCCTGTACATGCCAGACTGTCCCATTAAACTCCTAGTGAGATATGTTCTCTCCAATTTCCAAGCAAAGATCACATTTCCTCCAAATGGTAACACAGTTAGCACAGTTAGAATTATGTTTGTATCTGTCCCAAAAGAGGTAAAATGGAGGTTATTTGTTGTTAAGACCCTCATGGATGCATTCCTACAGGAATCATAGACACCCCAGGTATAGTGGCTGAACAAAACCCCCTTGTTCTTGCCCTAAACAGACCTCCGGTCCACCTTGAACTAAAACCAGGCTTGTCCCCCATCCGCTAGAGCCAGTACCATAAGAGAAAGACAATAGGAAGTGAAGAAGAGAGAGACAATATGAAGTGAAGAAGTGCAAGACAATATGAAGTCAGAACTGGAAGACAATATGAAGTCAGAAGATGGTCGGCAAACAACTAACATGAGAGATTTGCAACCCTTGATCAGACTTATGACTGAGCCAGTAGAGGAGATGACTTTGTGGGCCTGGCAGACTACCAATCTGTTCAGGACCTCAGGGCAGTCAACAAGGAAGTCATGACAATTCATCTGGTGGTGCCTAACATCTGTTGACCCTTATACCTGGAAGAGCCACCCATTTCACCGTCCTAGACTTGAAGGACGCCTTTTTCTGTATATGCCTTGAACTGCAGAGTCAACGGATATTCACTTTCCAGTGGAAAGATTCTAGCACCAGAATTAAGAGACTATTAACCTGGACAAGACTGCCTCAAGGCTTCAAATAAATCCCCCAACCTGTCTGGAGAAGTACTCAGTCATGATCGGTGACATTTCACGCCTGAGTCAGGTCACTGTATGCTCCTGCAGTATGGGGATGACCTCCCTATTGCTGCCACCTTTCAAAACAAATGCCTGCAAGTTACAAACCAACTGTTATGAATCTCATGGAAAGCAGGCTTCAAGTTGTCCAGAAGAAAAGCCCAAATATGTTGCACAGCAGTCAAGTGCTTAGGATTCCTTATCTCAGAGAGAAGCTGTAATCTTGGCCCAGAATGCAAACGAGCCGTGTGCCGCATCAACATATCCACCAGTCATCGGAAAATGCGTGAATTTTGATTGCCGCCGGATTCTGTCGCAGGCGAATACCTAATCTCTCTATCAATGCAACGGCCCTGAATATAACCCATTTCTATGGGGACAAGAACAACAGACAGCTTTCAAAAACCTAAAGGAGGCCTTGGTCCAAGCCCCAGCACTTGGACTTCCTGATCACCAAAGAGTGTTTTACCTGTATGTCCAGAAGAGGAAATCTGCTGTTGATGTTTGTAATGGATCACCTGGCACCCCAACTGGGTACCTCCGTTGAAGGATGCTCCTAGCGCTTCCTGAGGGCTCCAAGCACTCCAGCCGACACCATAACCACCATAAACTCCTTCAGAGAGCAAGACAGGAACAAGCTCTTACAAGAGCTTAGCAGTGAATATAGCAAGAGAGTATGCAGAGCATAGCAATCCCTTGTAGCAGATTCCCCCAATAAGAGACGGCACACCAAATTGAGGGTGAAGTAGAATTGACTGTAATAGCCCATACAGCCTCTTTTATTCACATTCTACAAACATAGTACTGCCCACAGGGTTTTGAAGAACAACCAATAAACACGTACAATACACTCAGACACTCCCACACAAAATCCTCCCCTCTGCCTGTGATACAATTACCTTACACAATGGGTTAATATAATTATCACAGGCAGGAAAATACACAGTTTTACACAATATTCATAACTTTAAAAGTATGCATCACGTTCACATAAAACTTCAATTTTCAGAAGCATACTCCAAATACCAACATACGTCAAAATCATACAAATTGGTCCAGTGGGTCAAAAGTTAGATCAACGTCCTTTGTGACCAAATGAAGCATGGCTTTTCTGCCCAAAACCAGTTCCACAGAGTCTTCTATTCTGGAGATAATTGGGAAGTAATCCAAGTAGCTCCAAGGACAGAGGCAAAACTCCATTAGCCACATGGTAGCAAAATTTATTAAAATACATACAAATATATAACTGTGTAGCTATTGCATAAAACAGGTACATTCAACATATCCCCAGATAGCTTAGATCTGAGCGCACATTATTACTGAATGGCGCTCAGATCACATACATACAGTTCAATTGCCATGCAGCCAAAGTCTTTCACATAGTCTTTCATTATACGAATGGGCTCCATGGCATAGCTATCTGGGGTAACACTGCTCACATAGGGAAAGTACCGAATGACCCGGCTTTTAGGTCTTTGCAGGGGAAAATCAAGCATTTCAACATGGGGCCATAGTCAGAGGGCAGGAGGCTGGCAATCAGTCTTCTCCAATGCCCAGTGGCGAGGCTGGTTCCGCCACAATGTTCTCACCCAGTACTTGGGCTCATGGCAGCGGCCGGTTGCCTACCTATCCAAACAACGGGTTCCAGTGGCCCTAGACCTATCCCCTTGTCTGAGAACATTGGCTGCGGCTTCTCTCTTCATTGCAGAAGCTGAAAAATTTACCCTAGGACAAGAACTCTATGTTTGGGTTCCATATGCAGTCCAGCCACAAAGTACCAAGCCATGCTATGTGAGAACCCAAGGAACCACTGTAAAACTGTCAACTTACTGTACCTAGCCACTCCCAGAACCTGACCAGGGCCTTGCAACTGGTCGCGGGCCTACGTGTCAACATCTACACTGCCTCAAAGTATGCATGCCTTACAACTCATGCCTATGGGGCCCTGTACAAGGAATTGAGCCTACTCAACTCTGGAGAAAAAGACATGTCGCTATGAAAGACTCTGTATCTCAATCAACCCTTGCCCTGCTGTTCCTGGTACCCATCTCTGACTGATCACCCCTATATAGCCAAGCTGAACAAAATGTCTGGAAAACAGAACCAGGTCATTCCTTGAATAACAAGGGATGCCAGTTAGAAGATGGGAGAATAGTCATATCCACGTCATTGGCTGAAAACATTGCCCGTCTACAGTAACAAAAGCAGTGGCCAGAGGATGCATAGAATGTGCCAAAATAGCCCCGATAAGGGCCAAGCCAACAACCAGGGAATCAAACTGTTGGAGCATTACCTATATCTGATTTGTTCATTGACTTTACTGTTATGTCAGAATTTGGTTAATTCCGCTATATGCTCTTACTCTGGCTGGGCAGAAATAATTCCAAGATATGGAACACAGATAACGGTTGGATCCGAGAACAGCTTAGCTTTTGTACACAAGTGCCTGCAGGAATTAGCCACCAGCCTCAGTTTTAAATGGAAACTGCACATTGCCTATAGGCCTCAAAGCTCAGGAAAAGTTGAGCAGATGAACCAAACACTGAAAATACATTTGGCTAAAATGTGCCAAGAAAATGTGCCTGAAGTGGGATGCCCTGCTCCTTATTGCCTTGTTCCAGATCAGGAGCGCTCCCACAAAACTCATCGGTCTCTCTCCCCTTCGAAATCATGTACGATTGACCACCACTGATTGTCCTAGGCCTTAAAGGGGATCTCCACCAAATAGGAGGAGAGATCACATGCCAAGTAGTACACTGTGAAAGTTGCTGAGATCACCCCGTGGATATACCATTCCAGAATTAAGCCTACCTCTGCTCTATGGGAAGTAACGTTTGTTGACCTTGACAACCCTTTGAAACTCTATTTTAAGAGAATAAAGATACTTGTTGGAGAAAATATCAACAAGTAGGTGTTTTGATGGCCATAATAATGCCTTACCACCTGCAATCGATGAGAATCAGAAGTACCCCTTACCTCACAGCCTTCACATTTGGAAGCTGAGGTGCCGACGCACGGTCAAAGCTTCTTCAGGATCATCTGCTCAGCTTGAGTTTGTGGTGATATTTGTGGTGATATTGAATATAGCGCCTGTATCCAGGTGATGTATTTTGGCCCAATGCCTAGGTCTTGGAGCGTTCCGAACATAAGGTCCCAATCCACCCGGTCAAATCCCTTCTCGGCGTTCATATAGCATTGTATAGAACTGTTTAGGTGGGTGGTAAGTTGGGTGCATATCATGAGGAGATTGCGATATGTGTCGGTTTCCTGCGTTCGTTTGTGTAGGCTTATTAGTACAGCGATTTCTTTGCTCAGGTCCACAACTGTTAGCTCATTTTCCTTCTTGCGCTTCGAGCATATCGCGATGACGTGGCCCCGGATCACCACTTTGTGTGCATCCCAGCAGGTCAGGGATGTCATGTCTCCTGTCTCGTTCGTGGCGAAGTAGTCTTGGATGGTCTTCCTGGTATTGTCAACGATGGCTGGGTCAGCTAGGATGGATTAATTCAGGCACCGTGAGGTCTGGCGGGGTTGGAACAGGGGCAATTTAAGCCGTATTTGAACGGGGTTATAGTCCAACCAGGTCATTGGTAGTATTTCGGATTCCACGAGGAGTGTAAGGTGGTAATCCAGTCTTGAATAAGAGGCCTGTGTTGCCGGAGTTGAAGGTATAGTCTCAGGTTGTAGGGGTTAGTGCCCTCCAGCATTCTGTTAATTGGTGGTGGTGGAGTAGTTGGAGTGTTTTTGCATGCCTGTTCGGTCGCGTAGTGGCTGCTGCAGTGTTCGAGGTGGTGTCGTGCTAGTGTAGCGGCAGGTTGAGGTCTCCGCCAATGATCAGGATGCCCTCAGCTAATTTCATCAGGCTTGTTAATGTTGTGTGGAGGAATTGATATTGTTTTGTGTTTGGGGCGTAGATGTTCGCAAATATGTAGTTCTGATCATGGATGGTGCCCTTCCTGAAGATGTATCTGCCTCGTTTGCATCGGAGGATGTCTAGTTCCGTGTAGGGTATCCATCTGATGAATGGTATTCCCTAGTCGGCCTATTGCTAAAGAAGCCCATTGGGTAATTGCGGTCTTTGAGGGGTAGCACTCGGTTCTCTTGGAAGTGCGTTTCTTGTATGAATGCTACAGATGTCTTGTATCTTTTGAGTTCTCTGAGAAAGCGGGAGCATGTTTCTCGAATGTTAATGCCGTGCACATTGTATGTGAGGACGTCTAGGTCTTCCCGCGCATAGCAGGTGCCCCCCAGGGCCGGTGCCGCCATAGCAGTAAGCAGGGGTGGATGGGCGGAGGAAAGGGCGGGCGAAGGAAAGGGGCGGGCGGAGAGGGGAGAGAGGGAAAAAAAAGAAAGAAAAAGGGGGGTGAAGAAGTTGAGTGAAGGCAGAGAGGTGAGAATGGCTATCGGGGGAGGAGAGGGGGGAAGGTAATCACGGGGAGTCCGGGTGAATGAGCAGGTCAATGGACAGGCATCCAGGGAGTGGTTCCACTCGGGTCCAGTGGTCCTGGGTGCCCGGGGAGACTCCCGGATGACCGTGCACCCTTTGTGTGAGGGTTGCACTATATCCATTTCCTGAGGGGGTGGTGCATTCCCGGTGTCCCTGTCCTGTTTGTGGGTTTGGGACTGCAGGTTAGTCATGAGTCGGGTCTGGTGTGTCTGTCCGGGCTTGATCTATGTGTGTTCACTATTGGTTGGGGTTATGCGTAACATTCTTTCCTTGTAGCGGCTGGTGTATGCGGGGTGCTGCAGCACCTCTCTGTTTGGGTTCTGTAGTGTGGCGAGGTTTGCACCGGTAGTGTGTTTTGTGGTTGGTATTGCGCTTCTGCGGGTCAGTCGGTTGTTTGCCCCTCTCATTCTATGTGGTTTCTCTGTAGTTCATCCCTCTGTGTCCCCCCTTTCCCTCCCTTCTCCTCCCTTCCCACCTCCTCTCTCTCCCCCTCCCCTCCTTGGTTTCTTATTGGGTGTTGTGTAGGAGTACCTCCTCCGTGTGGGTGGCCATGCTTTATCCAGTTGTATAATTCATTGTCTCTCCCTCCCCCCCCCCATATGACTGCCCTGATATGGTATGCTATAGGGCATGGCATGGTGGAGTTAGTGGGGAGTTATCTAGCATTCCTATGGGAAGAGTTTGGTGCGTCCCAGATCTTCCATTTTCAGTAGGTTGGGGTTGTCTCATTGTGGGTGAGACATGGTGGGGTTTGAGGCCTGCTGTGGTTTGATGGAGTCCCATGTCCATCTCGAGATTCCTGGCCCCCTCCTAAATAATTATGAGCCCCCCGTTAGCAGTGGTTTTACATGTTGCATGTGTGGCTTGTTATCCCAAAGGAGACACTCCCTAGAGGAAGCATAATGGGGTGAGGCGACCCAGGCGCTTTGTTGGAGTCCCATGTCCTCGTTTTGGTTCCTAAACCCCCTCCCCAATAAAAGTGCGCCCCCCAATTGCTGTGTAGGCCTGTGATATATGTGTGACTTGTGTCCTCAACTGGGAAGACATTACTCATGGATAAATGTTTAGCATGCTGTAGCCCGGGGTATGTTACCTCACTTCGGGTCGCGGTGTTCAGCCTTATCTTTTACTCCTCTGGTCTGGTCAGGGCGCCAGGGTCGTTGGCGTTGGGGCCGGTCGCGGCCCGGTTCTCGAGGGCCCTGTTGAACCAGAAGGACACTTAAGTGTTATGAATAACAAGGTATCAAAGAGATATCTGGGGTTGTGAGAGTAACATGAATTTGTAATGAAGAAAACTTGACAAGATGTTAGAGTACGTTCAGCTGTACGGGAACATCTTTGTAGGTAGCAGGTTGACTTAGTGTGACATTGCTAGAGATGTGTCCACCTTGAGGTGCATGTTTTTTAGTGGGGCTGCTTTGTCTAGGGCAGAGGTGAGGGTAGCGTTGCACAAGAAGATAGCCAGAGAAGGAAAGGAGAAAGTAAATGGATAATAGCTGAGAATGGAGATCAGCTGACAGTTGCTGGAGGTCAAGAGATGGTCATGTTGAGGAAGATTAGGCTGAGGATGTTGGGTGAGGGGACTCTTGAAAACTATGCGAAAACATGCGAGGTGGTGATCTAAGAGAGTAAATGAAGTAGACTGTGCATGTGCCTGAGAAAATGAAGTTGAGTGTATTACCAGCTAAATGTGTGGGAGAAGTAGTACTTTAGGTGAGGGAGGTACAGAAGAATACATTTGAAAATTAAGATATAGAGGATAAAAGCAAGCTAAAACGGCATTCTTGAGGTGATCTTCTGGAAATGCTTCCTCTGCAAATGGCTTTAGTGTCAACAGTGAGTCCTGGGTGAAATTTATGAATTCTGTTGATTGGGGCACTGGTTCTGTACAGGGCATTACAAATGACCCTTCAGCAGGGTCAAGGATTTTTTCCAACTCCAATAATATGGTATGCATTTTGCAAATTGCTTCTCATCTCAGCTTACTTGTGAATGCTTTATAAAAGAGTGCAATGCAAAACGATTTTCATAAAGATATTTTACAATCCTTAGTGAAAAATTTTTTGGGCTATTCTTCTGGTTATGTTAGCACTGACATATGACGCCAATAATGCTGAGAGTAGAGCTTTCAAGCAACATATATTTTTGTTGTTTAAAAATAGAAGCATTTGTTAGAAAGATGCTTATTTAAAAAACTGTAAGGTGAAGCCATTTGTCAAGCCTTCATCTTCTCAAATGCATTTCATTTAGATGCATGTTATTTCAGTGATTTGCCTACCTTTATTCTACATGAGGAATTAAACAATGGTTCCGATACATCTTGAAAATAATAACAATAAAAGAATCCTTGTGTGTGTCTCTGAAACAGAATTTTATAAATATTTACATTTTAACCATAATACGTTTGTTTGCTTATTGCAGAGCTGTTTTCTATTTTTCCTTTTGACCACTGCAAGTATGGTAGTGTATGCATAGATATGGTACCTTCCTATTAAAGGACCACTATAATGCCAGGAAAACATACTCGTTTTCCTTGCACTATAGTGCCCTGAGGGTGCCCTCACCCTCAGGGACCCCCTCCCGCCTGGCTCTGGAAGGGGGAAAAGGGGTAAAACTTACCTTTTTCCAGCGCTGGGCAGGGAGCTCTCTGCCTCCTCTCCTCCTCCCCGTCAGCTGAATGCGCACGCACGGCAAGAGCTGCACGCGCATTCAGCCGGTCGCATAGGAAAGCATTATCAATGCTTTCCTATGGACGCTTGCGTGTTCTGTTCTCACTGTGATTTTCACAGTGAGAATCACCCAAGCGCCTCTAGTGGCTGTCAATGAGACAGCCACTAGAGGATTTGGGGGAAGGCTTAACCCATTCATAAACATAGCAGTTTCTCTGAAACTGCTATGTTTATAAAAAAAATGGGTTAACCCTAGCTGGACCTGGCACCCAGACCACTTCATTAAGCTGAAGTTGTCTGGGTGCCTAGAGTGGTCCTTTAAGTTTATTAGGCTACATAAACCAAACTGAAACCAAGAATTTTTCTTGCATTAATATTGGCATGGCGGCATCATTTTTGACACAGGACAGTGTTCTCTTGCATACTTTTATATTCATATGTCCTGGCGTCATTCTCACAGGACATCCTCAGTCGCTACATTTTGGCAACGCTCACCAGGCACATTTTGGTGTTGTAGTGCTGACAGTAGCTAAGAGCATCCTTTTTCTGGAACACGCTTTTGTATATGCCGATCCAGAGCATCCCATGCAAGAACTGGTATGTTTTCAGCTTTCAGGAACTGTGTACAGATCCTTGCAACATGAGGTGATGGTCGTGGATGAATAGCACAACAATGGTCCTCAGGATCTCGTCACGGTATCTTTGTGCATTCAGAATGCCATCAATAATATATATACAGCTGTGTTGTCCATTCCATAACCCCACCGCCACCATGGGCCACTCGATCCACAACGTTGACATCAGCAAACCGCTCACCCACACGATGCCATACACAATGTCTGCCATCTGTCCTGTACAGTGAAAATCGGGATTCATCTGTGAAGAGAACACCTTTCCAAAGTGCCAGACGCTATTGAATGTGAGCATTTGCCCACTCAAGTTGGTTACGACGACGTACTGCAGTCAAGTCGAGACCCCTATGAGGATGACGAGCATGCAGATGAGCTTTCCTGAGACCGTTTCTAACAGTTTGTCAGAAATTTTGGGGTTATGCAAACCGATTGTTGCAGCAGCTATCCGGGTGGCAGGTCTCAGACGATCTTGGAGGTGAAGATGCTGGATGTGGAGGTCCTGGGCTGGTGTGGTTACACGTGGTCTGCGGTTGTGAAGCCGGTTGGATGTACTGCCAAATTCTCTGAAACACCTTTGGAGACGGCTTATGGTAGAGAAATAAACATTCAATTCACGGGCAACGGCTCTGGTGGACATTCCTGCAGTCAGCATGCCAATTGCACACTCCCTCAAAACTTGCGACATCTGTGGCATTGTCCTGTGTGATAAAACTGCACATTTTAGAGTGTCCTTTTATTGAGGCCAGCCTAAGGCGCACCTGTGCAATAATCATGCTGTCTAAACAGCATTTTGATAGGCCACACCTATGAGGTGGATGGATTATCTTGGAAAAGGAGAAGTGTTCACTAACACAGATTTAGACAGATTTGTGAACAATATTTGAGACAAAAGTGTTGCATTTATGATTTTGTTCAGTGTATTTAGTCTGTGCCCTGTCCTGGTTCTTGTTACCCAACAGTGTGTTTATTCATTATAGTGTGATTTTCTTGATTTTGACCTAGGTCATACTAAAACCATCTGGAAACCATGTGTAATATTTTGTGCTGGCAACTTGGCCATTAACCAGCCTTGTGGTACAGTTAGATATTTCTCATTATAACCTGTATAAAACTGTAATGTAACCACAATCATTCACAGAGACATTGTGTGTCACAGTGCTGTCTGTGACTGTAGTCACCATCACTAGGACGAGTTTAGAAGGACACTTTACAATGGTTCCTAAATGGCTTCTATGTCTCAGTCACCCTGTGCCCATTATAGGTGCAGGGTATTTATAATGTGAGTGTGTATACTGTTAAATGTTTTTTTAACAGTATACACACTCTCCTGTAATGCTGAGCATTGCTACCAACTAGGTGGATTTGGCTATGGAGCCTCTGTAGCACCCTCTGTTGGTAGCAACAGCAGTATGCACTACCTGAATAGCAAGACTAGTTAATTTGCATATTCTGGTAGATTTGCATATTGCAAATTCTGCAGGCAGTAGAGATATTTTGTGCTGGTTATTATCTTCCTCA